CTTTGGGTCGTTCTCAGTCTCGAACCAATCGTCCTCGTCAGTGGGACGCTCAGGACCCCAGATAGGCTTCTCTCCCGTTGTTGCCGACTTGTCGTTGCTCTTGGCGCCGGGGATATCGTGCCAGACGTTGTCGGCATTCGTGGTGCCCATCTCAGTTTGGACGCGCGACATCTGGCGGAAATCTTCCCACGAGCCATGGATGCTCGGGATGTAGAAACGAGAGTTGCGCTCCCAGAGACCCTTGCGAGGCTGCTCACGCGCCCAGTTCTCCACCTTGGACAGCAGGTCATAGTGGTGACCGGTGTAGCGAATGTCCATCTCCCACGACCAGTAGTAATCGTACTCGGGGTGGTTGTAGGCAAAATACTGCAGGGCCATGGTCAGGCCACGGTACACACCGTGGACGGGCAGGTCCGGGCCCCTGCTGAACAGGTCATGCATGCCCTGGTAGATGGAGAGCATCTGCGTCTCGGTCCAGAGGGTCACCAAGTCCCTGAACTCCTCAGGGATGCTGTCCTTGATGCGCTGTTCGTAGGCTTCGTGATCAGCCCAGATCGGGTGAGCGCCGTCGTTCTTGACTTGGACAAGCAGGTGAATATCGTAGCGGCCGCCAGAAGCGAGGGAAAGCTCAGAGATGATGGAGCGAATGTTCATGATGTCGTCTTCACCGAAAGAGGTACTCGTCCCAGGCCCGGATCACGATGGCCGTGCGCGACCTCTTGTCGGGCTCGGCCGCGTGGTCGACCTTGTCTGTGGCCGCATTTGTCTTGGCAGGAGCTGTCGTGGTAGCGTTCGACTTGGTATCAGATGGGGCGGCAGCTTCGGCGTCTCGAGCGGCCAGAGAGCTGGAGGTCAAACCATCACCAATGTAGAAGCCGTGGGACGAGGGTGTGCGCGCGGGCAGTGACTTGTACCGAGCCTCGTTGCTCTGGTAGCACCGTCGCTGCGCATCAGCCCAGTTCACCTTGGTGTAATCGACCTTGGAGTCCTCCCAGACAGACGAGGAACCTTCGAGCTCGCCGTGCTCGCCGACACCGAGACCGCCAGCGCGGAGAGAGTAACCAAAGCCGTAGGGCCCGTATCTTCCGTACCGCTCGTAGCAGATGTCATCGGGCAAGCCAAGAAGCTCGTAAGAACCCAGGACATTGTCCGGGAAGCCCTGGGGGCGGCCCTCGTAGTAGCGAAGCGCGGGGACGCGGACCTTGCTGTCGGTGTCGAGGAAGCACTCGTGGACGTGCTCGGGGTTGGTCGTGAAGATGGAGCCGGGGTGGTTGACAAAGAGCTTGCTCTCAGGCAGTCCACGCTTGGAAGCGGCATCGTCAATGCCGTCCTCTGAGGTCTGAGTGTCGGTGACGTTGACGTCGAGGGCGTCCAGGGGCAGCTCGTCCAGCGAGCCCGGATACTGGGGCTTGTTCTTGGAGACGGGGGTCAAGGTCCTGATGCCGCCATAGTATCTTGTCAAGAAGTCAAACTGCTCCCAGAGCGGAGGAGGGTCGGCTTTTTGGCGACCTTGCCTTCGGCTAACCTCTGGTTCTCGTTCTGGCTGGCGCGCACCAGACTCATGATCATGATGCCGATGAACAGAACCAGACCCAGGCACATGTAGCGCACGATCTTGTTGGGCAGCCTGTAGAATTGTAGGCGGCCCGGCCGCTGGGGGCCGACGGTCTTCCTCGGCAGCATCAGGGCATCGCTTGTGTGGGACGAGGCCGATTGCCTCGAGCTCCCGGTGCTGGGGAGCGACTCGTCGGAGTAGACATCAGAGTCGTCGGATGATGCGTAGTAGGCTTCTTCGTCGTCGGACAGTCGCTCCTTCTGGACCTTTTCGTAGAAGGGCAGCCTGGAGGGCCGTCCTCGACGTGTGCGGAGGGGATTGGAGAGGAGACCCATGATGGTCGACCTGGCCGCACTCACTGAAGATGGAGGCGTCAGAGGAATGTTCTGCAGCACGCTGGTGTCCGTACCCACAGATAGATCCGTTGGAATGTAGTCGGTTCAACTTTGACGTCGGGCAACAGCCCTTGGAATGGCGGGGCAGCTCGGTCGAGGGTTTGTTGCAGTGGTACACGGAAATGGCTTGTGAGTGTACGAGTTTCTGGGCGGCAGGGTGGATATGTGGTACAAGGTTAAGGTAGGGAGAAGCTCTCGCGATATGGCGGAGAATCAGGCAAGGCTATCTATCTGACCTTGATGAGGCAGTCGTCCCAGCAAGCAGGTGCCAAGTTCGGTGGTCATCGGTCATCGGATGGAAACAGGAAGCCTGGCATTCGGGTCTTTGATTGGTCGATCACACTGGCGACGTGACGGGTCGTTGTCAGGAGCAACGGGCTGTCCTTGGCCAATCATACCCCTCTCAGGTCCCACCAAAGTCCTTGAGGTAGGTACCATGTACCTAAGGTAGGTGCCATGTACCCACTACACCAGGCTCCCATCAACGCACGAGCCTCAGCCGGCCGCCTATTCTAATCATGATCTGCTTCCCTACCTACCTACCTGTAGGTAGGAGAGGCTCGGTTCAATCATAGAGCAACAGTGCCTCACGAAATGCAACGTGACAAGGTTTCTCGCAGAAGCACACACACCATGTTAGCGGATTCAACATCATCCGTGAAGAGCCGCCGAGGAAACGTGGAAGAGGAGCGTCGACCGCCCCAATCGCTGCGAGTACCGTCTGCCGGCCGTACTGTCATGTCATGGCATGTCTGAGGTGAGGCATGTCAACCAAGACAAGAGAGAGAGGGCTGCATCTTGCAACTTCGAGACGAGCTCATCGGGATGGCTCGCCAGGTCAGCATGGTACACGCCATCAGCCAGGCCTCTCGATATCGACGTCCCTCTCGCGAGGCATCCGCATCGCCGTTCCATGATTGACGGGGGACCAACAATGGGGGAATCCACCGCCACGGAAACCCCCTCAGAGATGATGCTCTAAGCGCCCAAAAACCATGAGAGTTTTGACTTACCCTGCGGTTTCGACTCAACCTGCGGCCCTGTCGCCCGTCTCCGTTGAGATATGTTTTTTTTTCTTTGGCCGCTTCGGATCGTCTTCTTTTCCAGGAAGGAAGCAGGTATTTTACCTTCCGCCGCCGTTTTACAAGGGGCTGACAACCACCTCTCTTGGTGTGTACCATTTCTGTTTATGAGAGTTTGTCGATCAACGCACAGCTTGATTGGAGAGCCTACTGATAGAGTCTGCATGTACTCATGTTCCGCATCGGTGAAGACTCTCGGTTGAAGACTCCTCGGCAAATGCCAGCACTGCTGCCATGCTGAAGACACTTATGATTGTCTTTCGAGGTGTCTTGCATACGAGCATCAAAACAGTATCTAGCACAGCTAACCCCCCAAAGAACCGACGACCCTTAGGGCGACAACACAATTCAGCAGACATTGAGCAACCAACCGGCATTGAGCGACGAGACGGCGCACCACAGCACGAGAGCGTCCATCGTGTGGCCTGGTGTTGGCAGCTAACAGGCCCCTCACGTGGCAGCTGCGCATCGGCCTCGTTCGCTTGGTTGGGGGGTCCCGGCTAGCCAAAACCATGTCTTGATCACCATCAGCCCAACGTCATGTGGTTTGCCTCCTCGCCAAGCCTCTTTTCACCAGTCTCTCCCGCCCCCGCCCCTCGACAGGTCCAGTCATGAACCGACACAACGGTGAATTGCAACATCAGCCCATGTCTTCAGACGTCGTACCCTGGTCTGGTCCCTTGACGTGTTCGTTGCGGCCGGCGTTCGGTCTGGCCTCCCCGGTCTGCAGCGGCTGGCCTCTTCGTGACCTGTGAGCATACAAGTGGACTACAGTACGCGCTTGGGTAAACGTTATGCGCGTAACACCGCCTTGTTCATCAACCCAAGCGAGCGACCGCGCATTGTGTCCTGTGCTTCCCAACAATGAACCCCCCCCCCCTCCCCCTTTCCTCTCGTCAACGGCACATGCTTGTCTACCTACCCTGGGTCTCTAATCTGACCTTGCACTAAAAAAGGCATGTATGGCATGTTGGAGGGACCTAGGTTCTCGACCAGCGCCCCCCCCCCTTCTCCGACTCGCAATGAGGACCCAACTTTCCCGCCCGAGACCTGCGGTCTGCTGTCGAAGCGTCCACTAGCATTTGACGTAAATCAGCGTCACCTGTGACATGATCCGCTGGCCTGCTGCCTCCGGCTTGCCGCCTCCCTATCGTCCGGCCGAGACCCTACCGAGAATCCTGAGTCCTGGCCTACCCCGCATAGAAGCGTGTGCCGCTGCTTTTTCCCACAGGTCGCACGAACGATACTGAGCTACCTACCGTCTGCCCTGACCTAGGGGACCTTACCCTGGACCGCTTGGGCACCTTTGCAAGTGTGCGCGCGCGCGTGCTCTCGCTCCCTCCCTCTCGCGCACTCCTATGAAACAGACCTTATCCCCTCCGATCGTTCCTCCTCTTCTTTCCTTTCATCTCACTCTCTCTTCCCCGGACTTGGTCTCTTCACTCTCGAGCCTGTCCTTAAGACCACTCATCAGACAATGGGTCTAGATGGGCGAGCATATCAGTGCCTATGCCAGTCTGACATCGCCGGCCACCTTGGACATGTCACTCGACCCATGTCCCACGACGCCGCTCCATGAGCTTCACCATGACCATGATGCCCACGCCACGTCTCTGCCGACCTCCAACAGCGAGGCCCTAGCCGTCGAGCGTGAAATGGACATGGATGGCCTCGCCGTGGCCTGCATCGTCGCGCAAAAGCCCGTCTCCGTGACCCTTGACGGCCCCACCATCTGCGCCCTGACCGTGCTCCTCGTCTGTCTCGTCCACTGCGTCGAGACGCCGCTCGCTGAGTGCCTCATCGTCTCGGTGCCCCTCCTGTTGCTCATCCACAACGACTACACATTTCCTGGGGCTCGGCCCGGTGGCACGCGCCTACCTTCAGGCTATGCCCGCATC